GAAACATGAATAAAAATAAAACAGGAAGCAAAAAACAACAACAACAAAAGAAACAAAAAACAAACAAACAAAAACCTCCAAACCTCTTCCCGCTCTTCTGGGAAAAATCCCAAAGACTAAAAAGACCAGTCAATTATCCCTTCCAATCATCAATGTAAATAATAATTTATAGACCATCACCTTGCAAAGCAGATGAAAGATAGTGGATCTAACTTAATCTAGATTAAGTAAATACAGCTAGATAGGAATTGCAAAACTCTTCCCAGATAGGAATTGAAACACGAGTTCTCTACATGCAGTGTATAACTAACATGCCTGGAAGACAGCGTCATAGATGTTTATGCAAACATCCAGTATAACCATTAGTTCTCCCCATTTTAAAGCCATGAGTTAGTAAAGAGTCATTTACTCATAGCTTGTCTGTTACCTTATGTAAAAACTCTTGGTTTCGACAGCACTGTTGCAACTGCACGCAAGTTAGGAAGGAGAAAATAACAGGTACACACCATGCACATTTTATATTTCTGTTATAAACTAACTGAAATGAAGACAAACAGCAACCAGACTACTTCAAATCTTGGAATCTTACAGCTTCTGTAAGTGAAGTCAATGAAAAAAAACAGCTGTTTACTTTTAACAGTATTCATACTATTATAACTGACCAAAGATATTGATTTTCATGTAGATATAAAACACTAACAAAAACTTAAGCATTGTCTTATCCTAAAGGACACCGAATATTTCCTACAGAAAAGCAGAGAAAGCCCATTGCTATCCTTAGTGGGTTCCCAAGGGAATTGGAGCACCTTCCCTACGAAGACAGGCTGAGAAAGTTGGGACTGTTCTGCCTGGAGAAGAGAAGGTTGCATGCAGACCTCATGGCAACCTTCCAGTACCTGAAGGGGGAAAACAAGGAAGCTGAACGGAGACTCTTTGTCAGGAACTGTAGTGATAGGACAAGGAGTCATGGGTACAAACTGAAAGAGGGGAAATTTAGGTTAGACATACGGAAGAAATTTCTTACTGTGAGGCTAGCGAGGAACTGGAACAGGTTGCCCAGAGAAGCTGTGGATACCCCATCCCTGGAACTGTTCAAGGCCGGGCTGGGTGGAGATTTAGGCAATCTGGTCTAGTGGGATGTGCCTCTGCCCATGGCAGGGGAATTGGAACTAGATGAAGTTTAAGGTCCTTTCCAAACCAAAGCATTCTATGATTCTGTGATTCTAAATCCAGATTAAGGTCAGGTTTATCTGGATTTCAGTTCTATCCCTTTGGAAACAACAATAAATCTCAAGGGAAAGCATGATCTTCCTATGTCCCATCTTTTAACCCTGCAACAGATGTATGACACCTGACTTACTTAATTTTAAAACAAATTTCAGCTATTTCTCTCTAATGTTCTAGGGAATTAAAATTCATATTTATGATGCAAACTGTTAATGTCACAATACTTCTACTAATATTTCCACACTGAAGTTGTAAAGTTGAAGAGGGAATTAATTGTAAGTATTTATTTACACTGCTGAAGCTATCAACATCTACTTTATATAGTACCAATTTTTATATATGACAACCTCCCAATGAATCAGCAGCACTGAGTCTAGAAGTTATATCAGATTAATTTATGGTCTGTTTGCTAGACTCTGATGTACAATAAAATACAGCAAATTAAATGTTCTATAGGTTAATGATTTATGCTCAGTGATGAGTGTGCATTAAAACATTTACTGAAGAATCAGATGATTCTTCTAGACAACCACCAAATGGAAGTATGAAAAACACAGTGAGGCTGTATTACCTCCAGTGGAAAATTAGAGGATGGTAGAAAATAGTAGTAATGAAGAGGCAAATGGTGGAGCAGATGGGGAGGGTACCAAGATGTTGAAAAATTAATTAATGACTGAAGTATCTTGAAGAGGAAAACTACTTTATAATTGGTAAGTATCATTAATTAATTTAAGTTTCTTTTCTTTCTTTTTTTTTTTTCAAGTAGCCTGTTATACTGAAAGATTCCCCAGCATGTTGTGGAAGGATGTAATACCTTCAGAATTTCTTTGAGTTGAAGGGCTTGTCAGCTTACTATTAGGGACATGAAGTCAAATGCAAAAGCTCTGCAATAGCTCTTATGTTCAAACATAAGAAAGCCACAGTAAAGCCATTACGAAAAAGAAGGCAGTCTAGTGAGAGATCAACAGATTTTGTGCACACAAAAATCCTATAAAAAGGAGCCTTCAAGTGTATCAGTGCAAGCCAAATATATCAATGGATCATATATAAGAAATGCTCTGTTGTCATGTTAAATATGAAAAGACGTAGAGACTACAGAGGGACAGCAGTGAAGGTTTTGACCATGTAATTATTTGTACATACAATTTAGAATATGACAAGGAGGATAGTGTTGCAAATTATCCATGTGTCCCAAATTATGTTCACAGATCATTTGTTGATCCGTTAAGATCTGACTTGTTATTTATTCTGTTGTTTTCCTGTAGTTGTCATCAGCTATCACCACATTACACATTCTCCAAAAGGTTACTCTTTTGGAGTAACCAATTAGAGTAATGAGAAAGCTGCAATGAGCTGATCTCAACTAAATGTGTGTCTATGCAATGGAGGCTACAGTCTAGCATTATTTACCACAACAAGGATATAATTCGTAGTTGAAAGTAAATCAACAAGCTTTTCAACACAAAACGTTACTATTTTCAAACACTACTTCATTCCTTCCTTCATTCATATTTGAAGGAGATAATCCACCAACATGGAATTTCTGCTCTAGTGACTCGCCCAGCATGTGTCCTGCTGTCACTGATAGCAACCCTGCCCTATTTGCTAAAATGTGAATCAGAAAAATTACCTCATGCCCAGCAGGTTTTACATGTCCTTTCCTCTTCTGTTCATTTATTTATTAGGTTTTGCCTTTTAACACAATCCTGAATGGTGACACCATTGTTTGAGTGAGCTTAAGGTATGGTACTCTATGCCTTAGTTATCAGCTGTTTCTAAATCCAGGTCAAAGGATATGCTTATACTTGATCCAAAAGGCTAAATCCTTCTCTCTTCGACCAACAGATTTGAGAAAAAAAAAAACACAAAGAAGGGTTATCTTGGCAAGAGTATGTAAAGGTTATTCTTTTACCTGCTGTAGTAGAACACAACTACTAAAAGCTCTATCAGATAGGAACCTCATTTTTAAAAAGAATATTTTATATATATATATAAAATACATAATACATATAATATTTATTCTATTCTATTCTGTATTATGTATTTCTATTTTTTATATAATATTTATACTATAAATAAATTTAAAAACCTGAAAAAAACAACTCAGATCCACAACTCTCATACCTAAGTAGAAAAGAATTGCACACATCAGCCTGAGCTTTTTCTGTCAAAGAACTTGAATGCCAGGCAGTTTTTGTCACAAAATAACCTTTTCTTCTTGATGTAAACAGAGAAAAAAAGGGTATAAAAATGTAACAAAATTTGATGGCAAGCTGGTAGTTATATAATTGTTCAGCTAGACCCTTGTATACCTCTTTTTGGGGACTAAAATAAGGAGAGTCAGCAGAATCAGACACTGGGATAAAATGAACATTGCCTTATTCTTCCCAGCAAAAAAAAATTTGCTATCATCCGCATCATATCCTTCTCTGGTCTGAAAGACATTCTGTATGTGTCAGTTATGAGCACACTCTAATACTGGCTACAGTCCTCACCATATGTACAGTAAATTGAAGAATTATCTGTTTGGAACCAAAACAAGTGGAAAAGAAAGATAAGCTGATTTAAGATTCATTGATTTACCATACCTCTACATATGGTCCTTACCAGCATAGCTAACTTGATTTTAAAGGTGTTAGTCATGTTGTTCAGTGTGGTCCTTTTTAATCTACAGGATAAAAAAGGAGGTCTAGTTTCAAACATATGTTCCATAAAATGATACAACTCTATCTGGAGTGTTCTCAACAATTCTTTTCAAATTCTCATTCCACAATCATAATAAAGCTCATTTACAAACATAAGCAATTTCTCTTTGATGGTGTTTTTACCCTTTGACTAATTCAAGTTAATGCATCTCAATCCAAAACTGTAGTCTTCACATAAAGAATCTGTGAAGGAACAAGATTCAGGATGGGAGCGGTTTCAGGCGTGGAGAAAGACATATAGCAATTGACAGGACTTTATTATATGGACTTTACCATTATTATGTGGTTTCATTGTATCCATACTATGCAGTGCACAGCCTGGGCATGCCCGGGCTTGCCAGGAGTTTGCCTGCTCCCTGCTTCCTCGCTCCCCTCTCTGATAGGCTGCAGAAGCTGCAGAGGAGACAGTTACCATTCGCCCTTCCCTTCCCTGGTTCCTCCCACATTCCTCCCCCTTTGCCTGTGTCCCTACCCTGGTTTGTTCCCCTGTTTGTCTGTCTCATGCTCCACCCCATGTTCTAGCCCTTGCCTTGCCTGAACCCATAAAACCTCTGGACATCTCAATAAAGTATTCCATTTGCACCTCTACCTTGTCTCAAGACCCGTCCATGCTGCGTCACGGCCCCATCCCCCCTCAGACCGTGGCAATAATCCATTCATTATCCATTTATAAGTTTGAGTAATTCCTCACACCCTATAAATCTTAAATATTAATTAAATTTTTAAGTCAACATGTCTTTCTGCTAAGAAGATACCAAAACCAAGTAACACAACTGAATTAAAACATAAGGGAGACTGAGAAGAAGCATTTCCCTATCAGTAAAAGAAAAAAACTTTACTGGATCATGTGAAAGGTCTTTCTAAGCTAAGTTTCTGTCTCAAATAGCATCCAGCAGTTAATTTCTATCTAGGTTCCTAGAAGGGAAACCTCCAAGGTTTGAAAAGGCAGAACTGACATCCATATCCAGGGAGAATTTTTTTTTTAATGTATCTTATAACTGATAAATAGGTGTGGTGGTTTAATCCCAGTCAATAGACAAACCTGCAGACAGCTGCTTGCTTACTCACCTCTCCTGCAGGATGGAGACAAAATAGGAGAAAGGTGGTAAGATTATAAAAGTCTGTTGAGTTAGTTCAGTCCATAACTTGGGTTCCTTCTGTTATAAAAGATCAGAATAAAATATATGGCTTGTTGTGTTGTTGAGAAGCAAAGACAGCTCAAGCTGAGTCACCAGCTCACTTGTTCAGCTTCTTGTGAGGTTGGTCCTCCGTTTGCTTTAGTTGTTCCTGCTACAGCACTTCCTACAACATCCAACTCAAACCATGGGTTATAACAGGTTAAATGTATATCCATTACAATTTCCACCCCTTTTCCCTTTGGTCCAGGTAATAGAGTTACTATTGCAACGTCATCCACACATTGCATTTGTGCCAGCATGATCCCTCCATGGGCTGCAGTTCCTTTGAGGGTGTACCTGCTCCAGTATGGGCTTACTCATGGGCCATAGTCCCTTCAGGAGTGTTTCTGCTCCAGTTCATAGCTGACTTCCTGCATGTCTAGTACAGCAGTACAGGAATGGCAGCAGTGCTAGGGTCATATGCCAGTCCAGGCACTTGGGCACATATTGTTAATCAAAATGTTGCCAGCCATGACAAACTAAGATGATAAGTAGTACCTGAAACAGCAAAACCAGTCATCAACAAGCCAAAGACTCTAATAAGTGAGCCTCATGGCAAGCATGAGAGCCTGCAAAATAACAGTTATAACAGCTATAAATTCAGACTACAAACAAATCTGATGTTATCTTGAACCTCTTAAGGCCTGTGTTATGCAATAAAAAGTCTTGTGGTGGGTTGTCCGCACAATGGGTTGTGTAGGCAAATACCTACGCAGCCAGCCAGTCACTCCCTTATCCCTTGGGAGAGCAGAAAACAGAAGGGAGAGAATAATATTTGTGGATCAAAACAGAGAATTTAATAGGTGGAAAAAAACCCCTGCATGTAGAAGCAAAACAGTTTCACTGTTTCCCATGGACTAGAAGACGTTTAGCCACTTCCTGTAAAGCAGAGCCTTAGCATGCACAATGGTTACTTGGGAAGACACAAACCATGACCACAAATGTACCTAATCCCTCTTTTCTTCAGCTTTTATTGCTGACCATGGTGTTCTATGGCATAAAATATCCCTTTGGTATGTTGGGATCAGTTATCCTGCCAGCTTCTTGTCCACACCCAACCTAGTCCCTGACAGGAGAAGTTGAGGGAAGAGAGTGAGAAAAAGAGAAAACCTTGATAATGGGCAAGAAATACACCGCAATAGCCAAAACATTAGTGTGTTGCCAACAGTGTTTCAATCACAAATTCAGAACACCCTATAGCCTGCTACTGAAAAAAACCCCAAAACCAACCAACCAACCAAAAAAACCCCTTCTATCTCAAATAGACACAGTACAGTAGAGATGAAAAGACTGATGTATTAAAGATCATGATACTTCTTTCCTGAATTTTCTTAACTTTCAGTAGTCTGCAGTTTAGGGAGTTCTTGACATTACGGCATTAAGCATTTGATTAGACACCTTAATGTTCTTACTAGATGTTTACACAAAATTTAGAAAATTCACCAAATGAAAACTTCTGATCTCTTTTGAATATATGTCAGACTGGAAGGGACAATAAGCAAGTTTGCAGATGACACAAAACTGGGAGGAGCTGTTGACTCCTTCGAAGGCAGGGAGGCCCTACAGAGAGACCTCAACAAATTAGAGGACTGGGCAATTACCAACCATATGAAGTTCAAAAAGGGGAAGTGCTGGATTCTGTCCTGGGATGGGGCAACGCCAGATGTTTGTGCAGCCTCACACTTGGTGTTTTTAGCACCATGCTCCAACTAACTGAGCTAATCTCAGGGTCACTCATATCATCAGTACTTACACGACTTTAGGTACCCCTCAAAATCCTCCCCACCCCCTTATAAGATCTGTATCCACAGCAATTTCAATAAAAGGAAAAAAAAAGTCACAGAAAACTTTTATAAAAAAAATTTTATAAAAGCCATTTTTTATATTCTATGTTGGATATTGATGCAATAACAGATCACACCTGAGTATGATTTTGCATATTTTTCACCATTTATAGAAGCAGTGATTCTGATACATATTCTACTTCTCTCCCTATACAATAACTTCCATTTCAGTTCTATTTTTGTTATGTTGCAAGAAAAAAAACTGTTGTATTATCTTATTATAAGTCTATCCCTTGCTTATAACTTCAGCAAATTTTACTGGTTAAGAGTGAATTTTTCAAGCTGCTCTCTGTACATTATTTAAATGTACAATCAGAAACTACTCAACCATTTCCCTGAAATAACTCAGTTGGGAAAAAAATTGTGAAACTACCTATTTATATCAGGTAGTTTGTTTAACATTACTAGTCACTTCACGACATACATTCTGCAGAAGATGAGAAAACAATCAAAAAGTTACATTTTCTATCTTGATAAGAGTACACAGATTTGGGAAAAAAAAAAACAGGTGGAAAAGAGAGAAATATTCTTTCATCCTAAGATCCTCCCTAAGATCCTGCTCCATGGTGAACTTGCCACTGGCTGCCGCATGAGAGGAGCCCCGAAGAAAAGATACAAGGACTCCCTGAAACAACATCTCAG